TCTTGGTAATTCAACTTCTGAAATTTTTATATCGCTTAAATTTTCTCTCTTTCTAATATAATATATATTTGTATATTTAAAGGTATATAAAACAGAAGTGGAAAACAAAACTGCAGAGATTCTATGGTTCTCTTGTTACTTGCTTCAGTTCTCTTGTAGTCTCCTCGTCATCATATCAGGACCTAACACAGTAAAAAGTTATCTGCAGAGATTCTATGGTTCTATGTTAATATATTCTACGGGTTTTAGTAACGAGTTTTAAATAGATTATTTAATTTAAAAAATAATAAATATAATTTTACTTAAAATTAGTGAAAACCCTACATACATATACTTAAAATATATATTATATATTTAACAGAATATTTTTTTAAAAAAAATCACATATAACACTTTAAAAACCATTCGAACATTTTTTAAAAAATTTGTTCAACTTTTGGTGCGTGTTAGATTTTCAAATATAACATTTTAAGAACTGTTCGAACATATAGACCAGATCTAATAGAGTATGGGACTTTGATTTTTGGGTCAATTTCGAGTCGACTCCGAGTCAGATTTTGATGGTACAAAGATTCTTAACTAATTATGTTAGATAACTAATAAGCAAATATAATAAGCCACAAACTTTAGAAATAAAATTTAAAAATATTTTCTGAAATGCATATGGCATAAGTGTATAGTTATGCAACTTGACATATTTGATATAGTTACGAAAAATTATATTAAATTAAATTAATATTAAACAAAAATATAATTACAAATAACACAAATATAAAATTTAAGTTTTTGAAAAAAAATAATAGATATACCCGTCCTTTGAAAGGACAGATCAAAATTTAATTACTAGTTGAATCTTCTTAGTAAAATGTTTATCTCTTTGTTTTTGAACTTTATCAATGCTGATTTGTTATATATGGTGTTTAACAAAAAGAAAATTACTTATGAAGTTTATATTCAATCTTTCAGTCAATGGGGATAAAAATGACTTCTTCAATGAATTCTAGAAAAGTATATAATTTTATTTGGTGATAAAATGTTGGTTGTATACTAAGCTTGCGGTTCAATATCTTAGGGTTTTATTAAGCATATGTTGTTTCAACTCCATTATGATATGCCTTTTTATTTATACTAGATTAATACCCGCGCATTTGCACATGATAAAGATTATATATATATATAATTTATTTTATGTGCTATTCTTTAGTTTGTGTGCTTTCATATATTATAAAATAATAAATATATATTAAATAATTAAAAAAACTGTAACTACTGTATTATTAATACAATTAATATAGAGCAAGCAAATAAAAGAATCATATTTGTTTATTTATAATCATTATATATAAGTAAATCTAATTAACAAATAATATTAACATGTATATATATATATTATAATTTTAATTTGGTTATCTAATAAATGAAACTTCACACTTACATGATTTTATGATCATTTGTATATTTTTATAACAAAAATTTAAACCATTGATAACTTCATTTTTAATATGAGAGATTTAATATTTACAGTAATTCATCATCTTTAAAAAAAAATTAAATTCAAAGTTTGTCAAAAAGTATTAAGTTCTCAGTACTTGTTCAATGCAATTTGAAACTAAATATTTATGTATTTTTAAATGCTATATAGTTTAATTTAAACATCACTAAAAATAGATATATATATATATATATATATACATCTAATTTGAATATCTATTAAATGATATTTTTTACTCTTTAATTATATAATTTTTTGTATCGTGTTATAACAAAAACACTTAAATTATTAATCCAAAAATATGATATGTGAAACTTTTAAATGTTTTATTAATTTATAGTCGTTTTAAAAAATCCAGAACATAACATATATGAAAAAAAACTAATTTGTTTTTTTATATATTTAATGTTATTGTTTAATTTATTTTCATAATATAAATTTAACAAAAAAGAGTAGAGGCTATAAAATTTTTTATCAAATCTTTCTTATTCAAATAATTAATTGTCATATATATTATAACAATATTAGATAATTCCGTAAATTTTTTTTAAAGAAATAATGAATAGCATTAATAATAGTTTTATGCTTGTTTGATAAAAAGTATATTATATTTATATAGACCAATATTTTTCTTTAGTAAATTTGAAAAATATTTTCATGATGACACGTGCACATCTTAAACATGTTATAATACTTCTCAATTAATATAGAGATAATTGGCTAAAGTACCCTATTTGGCACCTATAATTAGATAATTGTTCATGATGTGACAATCACTTTTCTTTGGACCATTTTGCCCTTCTCTACACTCTCTCTCCTCTCTTTGACATCTCCCCTCTTTTTTTTTCTCTTCAATCCCTAATTATTTTACAAATCTCTATCATTCTATATAGAATTGAATTTTAAATTTCATTATTTTTTCATAAGTGGCTTTGAATCCTCAATTTTGACATTTTTTTCTCTCCAATCCCTAATTATTTTACAAATCTCTATCATTCTATATACAATTAAATTTTAAATTTCATTATTTTTTTCATAAGTGGCTTTGAATCCTCAATTTTTTGATGATATCAATTTTCTGGGTTTTAGATTCGACGTCGTGTTAGCGGTTAACAAATATTGTATACGTTAACAGAAGTGTTAGTTGTTAACAATTATTTTTACGCTTCGCGTTAATAAATGTGTTCGCTGTTAACAAATATTATAGACGTTAACAGAAGTGTTAACTGTTAACAATTATTTTTACGCTTCGCGGTAATAAATGTGTTGGCTGTTAACAAATATTGTAGACGTTAACAGAAGTGTTATATGTTAACAAATGTTTTTACGCTTCGTGTTAATGAGAGGAAAGAGAAAGGGCATTCTCGGCATTTCCTTGCCAAATGGTTGTGTCAGTGTCCTTCNAGTGTTAACTGTTAACAATTATTTTTACGCTTCGCGGTAATAAATGTGTTGGCTGTTAACAAATATTGTAGACGTTAACAGAAGTGTTATATGTTAACAAATGTTTTTACGCTTCGTGTTAATGAGAGGAAAGAGAAAGGGCATTCTCGGCATTTCCTTGCCAAATGGTTGTGTCAGTGTCCTTCATGTCCAATCAATGATATTTTGCTAATTTGAGCTTCAAATATGGGTAGTTCACTAAATCACTCATTAATATATAGGGGATTGTCACACTAAATGGACTGCTTACTCTGGAGTAGACAATAGGTTTTCTTATATATAGCTTAGGTAATCCTACTCGGACATTCACAAAATATCCTCGCGAACTTGTGATTACCATTAGCAACTTCTTAATTAGTAGCAGTGAGCACATCATATATATAAGTATATTTGTTTTGCGACAACAAGGCTGTATTACATAAACATATCAGGCAAATAATACTAATGTGGTGATAACAGTGCCACGATAAGAGAATTAAGTGAGCAAAATACATAGAACAAATGTAATTAATATACGAAATCTGCATGACATGCAAAAGGGCGCAGAAACCGCAGAACTAACGCATAGGATCAAAAGTTTAAGATATATGTTTACAGTTGCACATATTTTTTGACATTCTGAGACTATCTCCAATGATACATCATTTTGAGTAAAAAACATCAAAAATTGAGAAAAATCATTCTCCAATAGAACATCATTTTGAGGGAAAAATGAGTTTGTGAATATTATTTTCTCAAATTTGAGGGAATACTATTCACAACCTCATTTTTATGTTAGACTTTTTATTTACAATTTGATCCTTAAAATTTTCTATAGATTTATTTTGTATCTAATTTTTTTTTATATTTGTATTTTTACACTTTAACAAAATTATTAACACTTTCATAGTACAGTTATAAGTTTAAATAAATCATTTTATATTCTTTTAAGAACTGAATTTATGTATATAATAAATACTTAGTTAAAAAATTATTTTTGGGGCAAATTTGTAAGTTTTAAAATAGTAAACATCATTATAGAATTATAATAAATATTAATAATAGAATATTATTTTTTGAAGGAAGAAATAAATGAAACTATTGGAGTAGAACACACTCAATTTGAGTTTACATCATTTTGATGGAAAAAAATGATGTTAACCATTGGAGATGCTCTGAGTATACTAAACCAGATATTTTTACCACGATCAAATATGTTAACTAGAAAAGTAATTTTTTAATGCAGCCATATTTGTTTCAACAAGATCACTATTAAAATCTAAAACACGATGTAAAAATTGATGTTTCAAAATTTTGGAATTTTATTTATTTGGAAAATATTAAAAGAGGTATTTCAAATTGGGTATAGAACGTGAATGCCTTTTTGTTGGAGTGAAATGGAAACACAACTCATGGCCAAGCAGGCACTTCTCTCATACCTGTTTCATTTTGTAAAAGAGAGAATCTCTCAAATCTGATGTGACTATTCAGGAACCTTTTCTTTGTCATCGAATAAATTATTCATTAAAGTGAAATATAAAAGTAATGATTTAGGGAATGGAAGAAATACCGCAATCAGCGGCATGAAAATGTTTTCCCAAAAGTAAAAAAGACTCAACACTTTGATGTTTTTTTCTTTGCATGCTTTACTTTCTCATCATTTATACCAAAATGTCAAACTAAACTTACAAAACTGTAAGGTGGTGCAACAAATTCCTTGAGTTTCACAAGGATAAGATCAATTTTTGCAGTTTCCAGAGATTAATTAATCAAGAGTTTGCAACTACAATTTTTTTTTTCTTTTTGTTTCCAAATTGCAAGTTCAATATGTAGTCCTTAAACTTGAAAAATAATCAAAACCAAGCTAAAATATAATCTGAATTTTTCAGTTTTGCTTTTCATAAGATCTGAAAGTTCATTTACAGACCAAACCAACCAAGCTAAAACAATAATATTTAAAACATGCATAACTATAATTTACTTATGGCCCTACATTTACATGCTTTTCCTTGCACACAACACAGCACATTCAACTCTAAAGAACATCTTTTTCCAAAAGACAAAAGAAGGAACACTGAAGAGAAACATGAACTCCAAATCTCTCACTTGTTGTGTTGTGTTCTTGCTATACACCAATTTGTTTTCTTCTACATCGACATCCTCTCCCATCCACATCAACTCCACAACATCAATCCTCAATGTCACTAATTTACCACACTCCTTATCTCAGTCCCTTGAGGATTTCGCCCTCAAGACATTAACAAACCAACATCACAGCGGTTCTTTATACCGTGCCATCTTACCTAATAATTTATCAGGCATCGAAGTCTCCATCGTCCGTCTCACCGGGAAGAGTCTCTGGAACGCTGGGGCCAGATTCAGCAACGTGCTTATTCCGGCAAGGTCAGTTTCAGTTCCTCCTGCAAGGAGAGTCGCTATTGTGTACCAAAATCTAGGGAACTGGTCTAACCATTGGTATACCGTACCCGGTTACCGGTTAATCACATCGGTTTTAGGGTTTAGGGTTTTGGACGTGTCGGATCAAGACGACGTCAAAGAGATCAGTCTAAAGATGAAAAATCCTGTAGAGATTTTGTTTAGGGAATTATGGGATGAAAAAATGTTATCTAGGGTAAGTTGCGTGAGTTTCAAGGCACAGAACGAAGACAAGGAAGCTGCTAGTGTAAGCAGAATGATTCTCCCGGGTGTGTGTTACGGATCAAGCCATGGAGATTATTCAGTGATCGAACCTTTAGAGAAGGATAAGAATAAGAAGAAGGTGGTGGTGTTGTGGCGGACCTGGTGGTGGTTGTGGATGGTGGGACTAGTATTAGGGTTTGGTTTGTTATGGTTCTTAGGGTTTGTATGTACAATGGGGCTAAGGATTTTAAGTAGGAAGAAGATTCAAGTGATGATGGAGAGAGAAGCTAATGATGGTGAAGTGTTTGAGAGGAGATGGGTTGGTGGAAGTAAAATGCCATCTGCTACTGTAACAAGAACCCTACCAGAGTCAGAATCAGGATTTGAAAACGTTTCTCATGGATAAATAAACGTTTTGGAGTCTTATAAATTTATAATTCAATACTGAAAGCTATTTCTGATAGAAAATATGTAACCAAAACTTACGAAATTAAAAAAAAAAACATAACAATCTTCTTTATTGAGGATCCTATCTTTGTTCCTCAGTTTCATGGCTTATCTTTTTTTATCTTGCAGCCTGGAAACTTCTTCATTCCATGTAGAAGAATATGTAGCATAGTCCCTTTTGCCCCCAAGAACTGTAAATTGACATCCCATTACCTCCATTTTTATATTGGCCTTGAACTCGAACAGAAACTCGCTGAACTTTGCATCTACTTGAGGTTCATTTTCTTCATTTAGGATCAAAAAACCTCCCAATGTGAAGAGATGATCTTTCACAAGTACAGGTATGTGGAACTCTCTCGATTCATCTCTCACAACACTGCCATCGCATTTGCGCCTTATGCAACAATCTACATGAGCAATACCACCAGAGTCATCGTCATAGACGCCTGACCGAGCAAGAAGCCTAATGCAAGCCTTATATTCATATCTCAGGAATTGAGGAAAGGGTCTTTGGATCATATGTACAACCTTCAACAAATATCCTGAAGGTTGGTCTCTCAACATTCCAGGCTGGTGGTCTTCAACAGGTAAGATTGCGTAGTTGCTAGGTGATGCACATATGATATCTCTCGCTTCCCTGTTGAGTTTTAAGCAGTTTGCAAAATTGAGACGGATGACAGGATTATGAAAGATTAATCCATGTATTCTCTCAAGAGAGTCACACTCTTGTGCATTTAGCTCTGAAAGAGACTCTGGAAGCTGTGGAAGTGATGTAAGCTTTCTGCATTCTCCAATGTCAAGCTTGTGAAGTTGAGAGAAATGTTTGATGCAATCTGGAAGGGTTTTGATATTTTCGTTACCACTCAAATCCAGTGAAACCGGGGTACTGTATCCATTCCTTGGTAGACATTTTGGTAACGTATCTTCAATATTATCAGCCCTTATCTTCAGCCTTTTCTTGACACCAGAGACCCAACTAAGTTTTGCCTTAAACGGGGAACGATTCCCCCAGTATGAGAAATCCACATCTTTAATTTTCATAGAGATATTGGTCGGTTTCGAGCATTGCTTCATACGGAGTATTTGCATCATACAGAGAGGAACGTCTTCTATTCGTGTGAAGCTTAGTTCAAGTTTTTCGATGCTGTCAGGGAAATGTGGGAATGCACTGAGGCTGTCACAACAATCTGCTGAAAATTCCTTAAGGCTTGTGGCATTTGAGAGATTAGGAATCTCTTTGAGGTTTCTGGAGTAACTCACATCCATCACTTTGAGACTCCTAAGTGGCTGAACTCATACCACAACCAACAATAAATAATGCCACGTGTCAGTTAAGTATATATTATGAAAGGAAAATATTTGAGCAGAGTTTCTAGAAAAATTACTATGATTCCTTCCCAGAGTTTCTCAAGCTCGCTAAATGTCATTCTGAGTTCGACAAGGAACTCTGGACGGAACTCGGAAGGCAAAGATCTCATAGGACACAGGTCCCAAAGTAGCAGTCTAAGTTTTTGGGGTAAATAGTTTAAACCATGGGGAAGGGTTAGTCTAGATCTAACATGCCATTTCCTGTATATCTCCAAGAATTGGAGATTAGGCATTCCTTGAAAGGCTTCCTTACTTATGGATAACTCTCTGATATTCGATGCATTGAATGAAATGCCTAAGACAGATTCAGTACCCTGAAAAAATATCCACAGGGTGAGAGACTATATATGTCTATATCGACATCAAATGAGCTATTTTCCCAAGAGAACTATAATATCAAACGTCTCTCGAGCTATAATCTCATTCTATATATAGTTCATTTCCCATGAAACAATAGTTTAAAACTTATATCCTCACATTTTTACAGTTCGAAATCTAAAAATCCATAGACTATGATTATAATTGGTTTAATATTTTTATATTAAAACTATAAACCAGTTTAAATCGTCATTTAACTAAAATTAAGATCCGAGTTATATCTACAAAAAAGTTTCTGAATGAAAATGACCCGAGTTAGATTTGTAATTGGATTTCTTTCGGGTTTGAGTTTGGTTGATTGTCGATTTAAAGTAGTTTATAGTTTAAATTTAACTAATTAATTGTGGTTTATGGGTTTTTAGATATTCTGAACTTTAAAACATGAAAATTAGGTATGAAACTATTATTTCGGAGATATATAAAATAAAGTTATGGTTAGGGAGATATGATGCTATATGATAATTCTGGTGATGAAATACCTCATCGACCCGCCTTAGATGTACAAGGTAAAAATATATAAGTGCTTACTGAGTTGGAGGCAAGTACATCCCGAATATCCTCAGCATCAACCAAGAACTGACGTTTTCCAGGCTTGTGAACAGACTGTTGATGGACGATCTCTATACCCAGTTTTTTTAACAGAGAGTGCATATGTATGAGTCCCAAATGAATATCTACGAGAGATTTATCAGCTAAGGTTTTAAGTCCGTGGCGAACGTCCAATTTACTATTCTCAAGCAACGTCTTCACATCCTCAACTTTCTTACCATTGAACAAACAAGCAATGTGAAGAAATATGGATTTATCTTTACTATGCAAGGCATCATAGCTGAATCTCAAAGTCTTCTCTATCTTACCATCAAGACTTGTGGCAAGTCTTGGCATTGCATCTTCCCACTCTTCTTTAGAAAACCCTCGCAAGTAGGAGCCCAAAACGGTTAAACCCAAAGGAAGATAGCCAGCAAAATGAGTCACTTGTAACGCGAGCTCCCTCATACCGACACAGGGATACTTTTGCCCAAATGCATACTGGCAGAAGATCTCCAGAGCTACAGTTTCAGACGGAATCTCGACCTTGTATACTAGGTCGATACCATGTGCTTTCAGAAGCTGTCTATCTTGTGTGGTCACTACAATCCTACTTCCAGAACCAAACCACCGAGGCTCCTTTGCTAAGGCAATGAGTTGCTCCAGTTCATCTACATCATCAAGAACAACAAAGACTCTCTTGTCCTTTAACCTTTCTCCTACCACACCTGAGTGAGGTATCTTTACATCTTGATGGTTGATAAGCTTAGACAGAAACTCTTCTTGCAGATGCAACTTCGAACCGTAATCATCGACTTTGATTCTCCTATACATTTCCTTAATGTTCTCCATGAATGCACTATGCTGGAAGGTAGGAGAGAGTCGACTGTATAGAGCTCTTGCAATGGTTGTCTTCCCGATTCCCGCAGGACCCCACACGCCTACCATTCTAACTTCACTAGACTCTAGAGATAACAATGGCTGCAAATTTTCGATATGAGCTTCTATTCCAACTTTATCATCAAAGTCCTTTGAAGGTGTAACGTTTAGGGCATTAGAGATATCCAACGCAAGTTTCTCAATCATATCTGCTTCATTGTTCCTGAGGTGAAAAATAAACAACAGCGCATTAACACATATAGCCGTATCATCTAGATAAACTTTAAGCTTTTATAACCAAATCCAAAATGAGTTTGGATGCAAAATATGTCTTATATATAGAATTATAAAATCTAGCCAAATCCTAAATATTATAAATCCTAAATATTGTTAACCGAACCCAGCCTAAGCGTATAATTCCGTGCTTAAAAAAATAATAAAAAAAATATATATATATATAAAACCTCAAATGAGATTAAATAATTTAATTGATTCTAAAAAATCAATAGAATATATAAATAATAGCTTGCAAAGTATTTTAAAATTTTATAAATATTTTCATGTTTTTGTCTAATTCTGATGTTTTTGATTTTATAAGAATTCAAAGAAATTTGATAAATTCTAGGAATTAATCTTTTTATCAAAGGAAAAAATAAATAAAAACTTGACTAATGGAAAAATCAAACACTTTTCATATCAACAAAGAAAACTATTTAATAAAAAATGAATTATTAACTTGATTAATGAAAATTTCATATTCAAGAAATCATTACACAGTAATTAGGCATTTTATAGAGAATCATTAATTAGGTAGACGATAGACCAATTTCGTTTTTTTTGCTTGATTAGCCTCTAGACAGATTCTTAGAACAACATAAAATAGTAGTAATCTAATTTATTGTATCACTATTTGAATATGTAGCAATGTAGGATACTAGAGTTCCATAACATATTTTTATCATTCACCACAATATAGGTATATACTAAATATTCGACATTGAAGATATTATGTTTTGATTAATAGAAGAGATATTGTTTTGATTTTGAATTTATTGATTTGGTTTGTTTAGAAAGATTAGAAAATGGATATATATATATATATATATATATATATATATATATATATATGATTGGAAAAATTTAATAAATATATACATGCATCTTGTTGATGTTATGGGGTTTCAAATATATCTAATATGATGCCAATGAACTTATGATTTTTGGAGGAATAATTATTAACATAAGTATGATATGAATGAAGACTTGAAGTGATGAATTTAATTTTTTTTTAACTAAAACTATCATCCATTGCTCTGTACTACAGCTTGAGGTTACAGTTATTAAGAAAAGTGTCACTTTTTTATATGACACTGTAGTTTAGTTACTAAAAACAGATCATGGTAAGTGAAGAAGAAAGCTTCTAGATACAGTTTTCTTAAGGCATCTCCAACTCAATTCCAATTTTTACTCTAAATAGAGTAAAATGGAGTATGGAGTAAAAGAAACTCCAACCCAACTTCATTTTCTACTGCATAATATAATTTACTCTATAAATGAAGTAATCTATTTTTTGTTTGTTCATTATTCTATTATGGAGTAGAAATGGAGCATTTTTACTTTATCTTCACTTTTACTCCATTTTGGAGGTAAAAATGGAGTAATACATTGGAGATGCTTTTATAACATTCAATTGGCGTGATATTTTTAATTTTGACACTGTAATTTAGAAGATGAGTGTTTGCAGATTTTGCATTGGGTTTTAGTTTTTGTTTTTCAAAAACTACGTTTTTGTCTAATCAAGATTTC